GTATTGCCAGGCACTAACGAAATGTGTTAAGTCTTTTTATACACAGGTGAAAGAAGCACTCCCCAAGGAGCCTGTGCAACACTGCCACTCGCTGGAACCAGGAGACTGGGTCTACATAAAGGTCCATCAACGAAAGACTGCCCTGGCTCCATGCTGGAAGGGCCCTTTCCAAGTTGACAGTAGTGATGTGCAATGACTGGGAAACCGAATGCACACCAATCTCGTTTAAATGCAGCAACCATCCCCTCCTAGATCCCACTGCAATGCCTTCTCTCCCCTTTTCCTCTCTGTGTGAGCCACTGACAGTCTGATCATCTCACTGGATGCAACAGAGTAAGCGGCGCCGTCTTTCTGAGACTAGCTGACACTCTTTGCTGAAGGGAGGTGTAGGAGGGTCGTGGCCATCCTCCTTAGCCTCTCCTGTGTGAGTACCCTGCAGGGAGAGATCCTTAGTTTATAAGCCGCTAGCACGGACAGGGCATCCTCCTCCCTGTGTGTGTGATTGGAAAATGGGGGCGGCCAAACTAACAGGTCCCCAGAGCCGCATACAACTACCTTATTGGGGCCGGCAAAACAATTCCCCAGAACCGCTCTGCATCTGACCTTGCTGCACAGTCAATAAGTTCGGATGGCGTGAGCCCAACAGGGACAGACGACCCCATGGACAGTCCTTCTCCGTCAAACCAATAGAGATTTCAAAAGGTCTCTTACCTCTATTGTGGCGCCATGGGGTTCGAAAGGGAACGATCCGTAGCAGCTGCCGGTGCTTCTGCGGGCGTTGCCATCCCGTACAAGCCCCCAAATTGTTGGAGAATAATAGAATTCTCACTTTTTGTTTGGGTACAGCAAGTCAGATACTTTATTTTCTCTAACAATTGCGTAGAGGGAGAGAGCTAAGCAGGTCTCTCTACAGGTAAACAATTACAGCAAACCTTTATACCTTTCATTACAGACAATAATAAGCAACAGCTGCATTTTGTTTATACAGAGGCCATCTTGATATCTTATTTTTTTCACTTGTTTTGACTCTAGTCTACATACAATATTTTCTACCCATTATCTACACAAGGTCGCAACAACTTCTCACACAGTTCTTTCCCACTCGCCTCACACAATCCTCGCTTCTACAAATCTCGCGTTATTAGGGCTACAATTAGCCTGACTCTTGCTAACGAACTGTCATGCATTGAATCCCCTTCCTTTCAGTTCTTTCTCTGCTTCCACAGGGTTATGATTAAATAGTTGCAAAACCTGCCTTAGAGTGAGAGACTCCAGGAGCTCGAGCTGTTTATTGTAACGAGAAGGTTCCTATCCGGGCAACAGAAATTTGATAATCGATGGCTCTTCAATTGAACAGACAAAGAACGAACACAATCCAAAGGCTGGGAGCTGAAGCTAGAGAGATGCAGACTAGAAATAAGGAACAGATTTTAACAGTGAGGGGAATTAACCACTGGGAGAATTCCCCAGGGGTCGTGGTGGATTCTGCAGCGCTGGCGATTTCTGAATCAAGCCTGAATGTTTCTCTCAGAGATCTGCTCTAGGTCACAGAGGAATCAGTCCAGGGAAGTCCTAGGGCCTGTGTGACACAGGACGTTGGAGTCCATGATCACAATGGTCCCTACTGGCCTTGGGATCTATAAAAAGATCTCGGGGTGGGGGGGGAAGAGAGAGAGAGAGAGACGAGCCATGGTTTATTTGCCGTGGTGTATTTCCCAGCCTGGGGGTGGCTGCTGGGCAGTGAGACGAGGCTGGTTTGTGATCATGTCTGTCCAGGATTCATCTCTTTCCCCTTCTCCTCATTCTATCGTGGCCTCTCCCTCTGCATTGACCCCTCTGCCTCTGTTCTAGATCCCCTGCTGGCCCCCACACTCTCTCTGGACACCAGGTACACAGTGTATCTCCCA